TGTAACAAATTTCTGTTGAGCGGGCGGAGAGAAGGTTGAACAGCTTTGTGCGTTTATCGTTATATAGTGGGCAATCAATCGTGGGTATGTTTTCAGACGCCGGTATAGACGGGGTTAGTCAGTTGGACACTATCCTGTCGGGTAAGCCCTCCCCGCGCACAGAGTTTGTCTACAACATCGACGACGTGCAGACAACCAAGCAGGGAGCAATCAGGTACAATCTTCCATTCATAAAGTTTATCTCAAGTTACATTAAACGTAAAGATAGTGGCATTGCCACAAGATGACAAAAACCTTTGCTTTAAACAAGTGAGACGGATTCCTGAGGAAGAGATCCAGCATAGCCATGTGAAGAATGCCATTGTGACTAGAATTAACTATGTATACGTCTCGTTTGAAGATGTCTGAAGGAACATCATTACCTTCGCCAAGAAGGTTATGTTTTCGTTGGCGTTCGTGTGTCTGTGTGTGTGTGTGTGTGTGTGTGTGAGCACGATAACTCAAGAAGGCTAAGATGGATTGTCTTGATACTTGGTAGGTGGGTAGGTCTTCATGAGACGTGAAACTGATTAGATTTTGGGCCCCCTAACGGCTTGTTATGGTACTGCAGCTGAACTTCCGGTTTTGATATCTCATGATCTAGACATGCTATGGTGACGAAATTTAGATGGTAGGTAGCTCTTGTGCTGGGGAACAAGTGACGTGAGTTTGGACCCCCTAGCGGCTTGCTCTGGAATTGCAGGGGCATTAGTTGAAAAATGTTTAAAGGCGGATAACTCAAGAACCGATTGATGGATCGTCGTGATTTTTGGCATGTTGGTAGCTGAAGTGATGTTATTACATTTATGCAAATATTAATGTAATTTGCATAATTAATGAGAAAATTCTATATATCAGCTGCATTCCATGATAGGACTATTCAAGCTTGTGATATATGTAATGCAGAACGGCAGAAATACAGGCAGATATCGATTATGCAAATGAAGACTTAATTTGCATAATTAACAAGAAAATGTTATAATTACATAGTGGTAATGTCTGGAATTTCATACTTGGGATATTTGAAAGTTATGTGAAGGTGAACATTATTAAACATAATTTATTCAAATAAGGACCTCATTTGCATAATTTATGAGGACATGCTATAATGGCATGCATTGATAAGATAAGACTGTCTTCTGGTGTAGAACATGATCAACAGATATAATTGATGCAATATAGGATCCTATTCGCACAATCAGGGGGATTCATCTATAATTTCTTAGTCATAAAGGCTGACATCATTTGGCGAAGGTATGAGATCGTGGAACTCTAGTTATGTCTTTTTTTTATTTCCAGGGTTGGTGACTACAAGCTGATAGAGGGGAACGCCGGGACGCCTGACGGGTGGATCCCCCCGCCTAACCTGACGGAGGAGAGTCAGTCTGACGGCGAGGACCCCAACAACGGCACCTGGCTCTTCAACCTTAAAGGTAATCACTCATATTTCGGCCATTGTTCATTCCTTGGCGTATAGCTCACGTACTAGATCCCTCAGTCCTATATGCAGTCCTGGGCCCTCTCTACTTTGCTCCCATGTTTAGCTGTTTTCCTGCATTTGTCTTGTCTTAGTCTTCAGTTCAATGCCCACGTCCACGATTTTCGTGCTGATCATTTCATACTGGTATGTTGGGGTGTTCCTATTGTTGTTTGCAGCCATGTTGGGCTCTAATCACATCCCATACCCGTAGCTTGTAGTCGGTTGCCAAAGTCTCTGTTCCTTCTTCCAGACGACCCCACAGAGCACCACAACCTGGCGGACAGCATGCCGGACAAGCTGAAGGAGATGCAGGCTAAGCTGGAGGAGTACAGGAAGAGCCTGGTGCCCGCCATGGACCCGCCGCCCGATCCCAAGTCTACCCCGACGCTCTGGGGAGGGGCGTGGTCACCCGGTTGGTGCTAGGCAACGGGGCGTGGTCACCCGGCTGGTGCTAGGCAACTGGGGGTGTGGATCTGCTGCTAAGCAATCATCGTTGGATTTGTTTTGGGTTTGGACGAGGCATTTATTGGGAAACAGTCAGACATTAAACGTAATTATAGCGTCCAGACCAAAATTTTATGTGCTATGTACAATATAGTGTAATTTTCAAGCAAGCTGATAATACATTAAGTTGATACTTTTAATTTCCTTTTTTGTACTTCATTATGTACAATTTGCTATACTACAATAAAAGAAAGCTATGATACATAGGACTAGAATATTGTTTGTGATGTTCAATCCCTTCGGCTGAAAAAAGTACCCCTGGTTAGTGAGGTCATGTTTATGCAGCGCGCTTTTTGTTTGCCTTGCCGCCCTGCCGACACGCCAATGACAGAGAATATATATAATCCAACCGAACAAAGTACATCATAGCGTGCCATAGGGTTATCACAGAAGTTAGAATAACGACTAGGACACATCTGCCGTACGATAGGTTTGCGACAGAAAGTTGAGGACATGGTCCGGATGCCCATGGACAGTCGGTTCTATGATAGTCTCGGTAATTGTCCTACGACAGAAAAATCGTTCGGTGAATGTGACGGCTTGATTGGGTATTTATTGTTTGAGTTCCGGCCATCAGTAAACCCCTATTTTCGTCTTCGGCTTTCTTAACGTGACAATGTCACCGTTCAAGCGTTACGTGCTATTTTTCACTGCGCATACATGTACCTGTTTGGCTGGACGTTTTTGCTGCATTGTGTCAATATTGCGGTCTGAAAGGACACAATGTAGCAGTGGCTGCCTTCGTGTGTTGAACACGCCACACGGCACGGTCGGGGGGCAGCGAAGAACGTCACAAAGTTAGTCTTGTCCAGATCTGTTGTGGGCAGTACATACATCCCGCTTCGTGGTGTAGCACACAAGTTCGGTACGCTGTAAAGTCCGTGCATCCTGTCCTGAGGCTTGCGTCTTAGACTTGCCAACACTCTACCGTGCTTGTGGCGTAGCACTCCTTGAATACATGTCAGTACCTTCTTCGACGGACTGCAGATCCTGCCGGGAGTAGGTCGCAAACAGGCATGATACACACGGGTTGGCCGTGACGGAACATCCGATCTTCTGATGCTGGATTGCTAACCGTTCCACCACAGCACGACACTTGTAGTCTCTACTACCTCATACCATGGCGGAGACGAGGAAACCCCTGGAAGGACAAGTATCCTCCGCAAGCGTACCCCGTGCTGAAGAGACGCCGCCAGACGCCGCGATGACCCAGGAGCACTGCCGGCTGCTCCGGCTGCACCGCGCCGCCCTGGTGGACCGCATGAGCCCGGGACACGTCCTGCCGGTCCTGGTCTCCCTCGGCGTCATCGGACGGGAAACGCAGGAGGAGATTGTCGGTGGGAGCGGCGACACCAGGCAAGAAATCAACGAG